CATATTTTTTACCTAAAAGACTCCATTTTATTAAAAGTTATTTTATAAAAGCAATAGACCACACTTTCTATGGGTTTACCGGCGTGATAACCCACTTGGGATGTTGGGAGAACACTCGAAAAGCTTGTAAATCACTCGCCTTCGGCTCGTGATTTACAAGCTTTTCTCGTGTTCTCCCAACATCCCAAGTGGGTTATCACGCCGGTAAACCCATGGAAAGTGTGGTCTATTGCTCAAGTTGTAGATGGTTTTACTCCATTTTCTTGAATTAAAGTATTTCCTTCTGTCAGCAGTATGTTGAGGAGGTAGTACAAATTTTAAGTAGTTCCTCCTTGGAAAGCACTCCAACAAAAAGGGGAAAAAGAGAACAACAAAAAGATTGGTAGGTTTTTATACAATGCCTTAGAAAGAGAAATCCATATACAAATTTACAGTCTAGTATGTATTTTTCTATATAGTTTAAATATCTTTTCATGATCATACTGGCAGAGGTTATAGCCAAGTAGAGTATACGCAGAGTTTACAGAACGTAGATATGCCTATCCACTTACCAATTCAATTATCTCTAGACGTACCAGTAACAGTTAATGCTAGGGTAACAGCCACGCCTTCAACTGGTGAAAGAGAGGGTGGAAGTCGCATTTACGGCTGCCGCGGTTTGCAGAACCCAAGAGTGTATCACTGATGTCATCTCCACACGCACCAGCAACTGGTAATAACCGCATGGCAACCGGCATAAGAGGACCCAAAACCTGCTAACTTGAACCGCAAGACTGGGGTCGCTAAGGTCAGATTTTCAACGGCCGTGCACGGAACTTCGTGGCAAAGCATCATCGATGGCTCACGATGGAAGAGAGTCTTTGTTTTGGCGAGCTGATATTCGCTCTCTGAGGTTGCTTTTGTCCAATGAAGAAAAGCAGTTACTGTAATTTGAGGAAGACTGTAACGTGCTCTTGGTTAAATCTGGAGATGATTAAACCATTTGGAGTGAATTTACCGCTGATTTCCTTCGGTGTATTTGTGAGACTCGCCGCCAACAAGTAACCTACCTTGGAGAATTATTTATACAGTATAAAGAACAACGGTAGAACTAAAATTAAAATCGATGGAATCGCGCTGAAAAGGCCAAAAAGGGTAAGAAAACACCCTAAATTTAGACAAGGAGACAAGGTAAGAAATTCTGATGTATTTGCATGCGAAGAACGCTACCTATTCTTCAAGGAGCGGTTACCAATTTCGTAGCGCAGCTACCGAGCATGTAGAGGCCCTTTCTGCCAGATTCTTCACATTCCTTTGGTTGGTCACACATATTTGTGCCGTTTTCGTCACCATATTGAATTTGTATTGGTAATAGAATAATTTGTAGTGATATTTGGAAATTGTTATAAGTAATTTCACGAGCTGTTAGACGAGTGAAATTTGAGACAATTTTGAAATATCACGAGTGGTATCTATGCAAAATATCACGTACAAATCATGATATTATTTGTTTATACTACTACCCGCAGAAGGTTTGTAATTGTCACATGTAGGTATTTCAAATTAAGCTGAAATACCACTGCTCTAATTAAGCCAATCAAATTGCAGAAATTTCTCATGTAGTAGTATAAATAATGCAATACGTGAGTCATCGCCACGCTATGACGTAATGCGCAGGCACGAAATCATTGCCACGAGGTCAACTGCTTCTCTAAAGCAAAATGTAAGGAGGATCTAGGCTGCCCCTCTCGATTTCCGCTGCTTCTTCTTTTTTTTTTTTTCTATGTAATTAAAAGTTGTCGTGTATAATGTTGTTTAAAGGATTCGTGGCCTCAGAACGTTTTGCGTCACTACTAGGACGCGTAGACAACATCTTAGGCGTTGAGTTTCTTGGACGAAACTTGTCTCTGTCAGTTCAAAGCATTTTGTCACCGTACAAATGTTTGAGCTGTCGCTGTTGTCGTATTATGGACCCTAAGCATCAACGACGAAATGGGACGACGACGCCGACCGGAAGTGAAATTTTCCCGCGCGAACCCTCTGGGCATGCTTAAGGTTGTCAAAACGTCGCCAGCCTTCGTCGACGACGAAATTCAGGAGGTTTGCCGTCGTCGCTAAAACGTAGGTATAAAACTACACTTTTGCATGTTAATCACTCTTTTTCCCCTTTTCATTCAGTACAAGTAGATATATATTCTTTGTGGATTAGCAGAATCCAAATGTTAAGCAATTTGTCGATTTCTTCGCCTGCTAACTTGAATTTATTTTTCAGGTTTGGTTTGTTTGAAAACCTCTGAGTGATGACGGAACAACCAGTCGGAAAGACAAGTAAGCTTTCCTCTGCTATCCTCCGAACCTTTTAGATTACATGATGTTCGTTCTCTTACGTCCATGTTTACTCGTGCATTCTAGGTTGTGCTATAAGATAAATGTTCATTTTTTCTTACTAAAATTTAATAATTATTTATGTTGTATTAAGCCGCTAGTAAAGGCAACTATTTTCTAGTGGGCTCTGGAACATGATGTGGCTATGAGGAGCCCTAAGAGAGGACAAATGTGGGAGAACATTGTAGCAGCACTGAATTCTCTTCAGCAGCCGAAATTTAGCGTAACTGCAAGTCAACTGAGCTGATCGAGATCGGTATACACTTTTAACTTCAAAATAAAAACAAAAGCTGTGCGACGAAGAGAAAGCCTCCAAAATCGAATAATCGAGGTCGTAAAGAACAATAAATTCGTCATCGTTGATTAAACCATCGTCATAGCTTATAATATGCAAATTACGGAGGTCTTTGAATGCCATAACAAGACTGTAGCAAGACAAATTTCTTCTCAGAGAAAAACTCGTCGTCTGTCTGGGAAGCTTCACTGCTTAAACTTCGTTTTCCCCGCCGAAAACGAAACCCTTGGCCCAGTCTGCCTCGGTTGCAAAGCGTCGTCGTCGTCCGTCCGTTGTCGATGCTTAAGGTCCCTGTTTACAGCAGTAAGCCGACCTTTTATTGTCTCCAACCAAATGAATCGAGCCATGGTTCTTGTGCAATTGTGCGTGACCCATTGTGGTCTTCAACCGCCTGTCACACAGGTTCATAAAAACTCCACACTGTCCGTATCACATTAATTTATAAGGAAATAATGTCACATTTGACAGTAAACCGAAAAAATCTCGAACGCACTTCCTAATCTGAGATTACTAATTGTTTTATCACTATTTTGACCCCAAATATCGATTGCTTAAATCTCCACACAAACTCTTATAATATTTCTGTTACGCAACAGCGATTCAACGATTCTCACTCGTGAGCGTGGGGTACCTTTGCCATCACTGAACAAAAAACCTGGATCTTGTCCGATGATAGGATCAACCCCGCCCTTTATTCACTTAATGACAAAAGGTTTGGAATAGTGTTTAGGGGTTGAACCGATCCTGTCTGATTCAGCTGATTTTGTCAAGGACCCTTTTGTTGGTCGTCAGGCCTGAATTTTGTTCCGGTTTTTTTTTTCTTGACCGATTGGGTTGTTTATTTAACTACCGTAAAATTCCGAAAATTCAAAATAAGCCTCTTCATGTACAAGCCCCTCCAAGTATAAGCCCCCCAAACCCGTAACGCAAAAACCCAACTGTTAAATCGTCCCCTTGTACTTAGAGAATTGCCCTCAAATACAAAGGAAAACAAAGCAAAAACAGTAAATTTACTTCCAACTATATGGCTATAGCTCAATCAATTTTGAAACACAAATTTCCCTCTGTATAGATAAGCCCCTCCGAATATAAGCCCCTCAAAAAGGGCCTTTGAAAGGTATAAGCTCCAGGGCTTATTTTCGCCATTTTACGGTATTTCCACTTTCACATCTTTGTACGCTGTTTAAAATATGATTCATTACTCTTTTTTTCACTCCCTGAAAATATGAAAAGTGTCGTTTGGAATTTAGTGGTTGAAAGAAAATAAGAATATCAAGAGGTCGTCGTTTTCTAGGTCGTCGCTTTCTGGGTCGTAGTTTTTTAGGTCGTAGTTTTCTGGGTCGTCGTTTTCTAGGTCTTCGTTTTCCAGGTCGTCGCTTTCTAGGTCGTAGTTTTCTAGGTCGTCATTTTCTAGGTCTTCGTTTTCTAGGTCGTCGCTTCCTAGGTCGTCGTTTTCTAGACACCCATTGATAAATACCACGCCTTTATTTCTCATTACAATGCCTGCGCATAATTAACCCAGCATTCTCAAGAACGGTGAAAAACAACGAGAGGTCTAATAAGTAAAAAAGCAACTTTGCACTTGCAGGACACTTTTTTTGTACATTTCTGCCGTTGTTTTGCACGACTACAAAGTGAAACTTCCAGAAACGTCTTAGTTACACGTTTTATGAAGGAAATGTCGTACTTGGTCTAGTTCACTTTTTTTTCACTGCCGCTCATTTTTACCTTGCATTGGTGGCCGATAGCATTTCTCATTTTGTCACCGCAGCTACAACATTTTCATTGTTGATCTTCCAACGAAAAATCTCCTTTGTTTTTATCTCTCGCTCTAGATTTCTGTCGCCCTTTTGTCGTTGATCAGCTTCGCTGGCCTGCCGCTTACTTTCTCTTTTTTCTCTTGCTCTATATTCTAAATTTTGTGGACATGACAATTAATCTAAGCTTAATACGTTAGACAACAAAGATACAGAAACAATTCCGCATTCCGTGTTCGTCTTTATTGACTCTTTAGTTGTCTCTGATTGACAAGACGCCGGTGGCTATACGATTTCACGCCAAAATAACCTCGAGTTGCATTTGGCTTGCTATACTTGTTGATTGAGTTATTTTACATTGGTATGCCTGTGGTGCGGACGGACGGTCGGGCGGGCGGGCATACGGTCACGTGATTAACAATTTCCTTGGATGGGTAGATTACTTCATTTTCTTACCCATGGTGCTCCTCAGCGCGCGCCTTGCGCGCGAGAGCTTCGATATTAAGGTTACCGCTGATTACTCGTTCCCAGACTTCTGTTCCCCCGTTCCCCGATTCCCTTTCCGCGTTTTAGTAACATCCGTTCTAGAGTACGCTTATATTCACAAAAGAACCATGCGACTTACGGGAATCTTTTTCACAGCAGTTTTCTGCAGAGCGGCACATGCCCGTTCCGTCTTCAGCTGGTCTCTCGTCTAAATGACATATGCGTCGACACACGCCAAGGATATCATCGTGTATATAAGGCCCGACTAGGCAGCCGGATGCTAAAAAAATAATTTCATATTACAGAGAGCTGTTAATTAAAGCACTTACTTGGTTATTTCTAAGAAACGTACTAATAACCAGTGAGAGGGTCCGCTCTAACTGCGTGTGATTCTTTCGTGTCGTACTGTGTGGCACTTCATCCAGGGCCTTTTACCCCTGAGCCTGGCTCCCATGTACTCGTCTGCTTTCGAAATAATCAGTGTATACTTTGTATATTTCGAAATGTTTTGTATCCTTTCGAAATATTTGTTCAATCGTTCCAGTGGACCCGAAAACTTTTTATGCGTTGCGACTCAATGGTATAACTCGATCGTCTTAGCGCGCGGCCGTCTCACAAAATTTACTGAGTCCCACATCATTATTTACTTTAATTTACTCATGTACTTTGAATTCTGGGAAAAATTAAAGGCTAGGATAGAATGCGTTTCTTTGGGATGATCCGGATACGGATTAGTGATCCGAGATCACCCAGATCATGTCGCAGAAAATGAACCGATGAATCTTTTCCCAGATTAAACTCATCGGTTTCTATGATGTATCATGATCCAAGTGATCTTGGATCACTCATCCTGATCCGGATCCTCCCAAAGTAACGCACTTTCTGACCGCGTCCATCGCCTGAGAGTGGTTTCCGTATGTAACCGCTGGCATCTTTTTTTACGATTGTCGAAGTCTTCCGGCCGGACAGACCACAGTTCTATCTCTAGTTTCCAATTGGAGGAATCCCTGTCTACGGACGAATTCGTCTGGATCGTTACACGTAGCCCCAGGGGCGTTTAAGATTACTGGGTACTTTCAGATGGAAAACTATAGTAAAATTATGATTTTAGGCTCACAGTAAAAGTTTTAGTGTGATATTTATTGCTAAATAACAGATCATGCAAACATCATCGAATAGCACCACCTATTGCGAACATTCTTTCATTCTAACTACTTCCTTGACTATGTCCTCTCTTGTAAAGTCATAGCAGAAGTAGTAGTAATGAATTTTACTAACGTGTCAAGAATCTCTAGCGCATAGCACTAATTGGTGACACAAAAATAAGAATAAAATAAACAAATAAATAAAAAATCAAATATTAAAATAGTGTTAGAATAATGTTAAGATAGAAATGCAAATAGTAAAAAACTAGGGAGGTTAAAAATCTAAACCTATTTACACGAAAAAAAATGTATGTAACTATATGATAACAGGATAAAAATTTTGCTTTGTAACATAGGGTCTCAAAGTTAATTATTACGAAGCATGCAATTTCTATAACAGCCATCCTCGGTTAAGGCAGTCAGGTCTGTTCTGCTAATTTTAGTCTTCAATCTGCCCAGTTTATCCTCGGCACGTAATTCCTTTGCAAGTTTCGACCAGAGGAAGGGGCCATAGTATTTTAATGAATGCTTTCCATATTTAATCGTACTGAAAACGAAGCAGATTGAAATCCAAATTTCTTAACGAATATCTCCTGTCACTGTTTGCTTTCAGCATGAAAGTTCCTGTATTTGACTTGGAAGTTGATTCTTTTTTGCCTTAAAGGAACTGTGTCGACCACGAACTCAGCCAAATTAGGTTAAATTACCAAATATCCATTAAATTAAGAGAAACATAAAAATAACCGCTTAAAACTTTGAAGGAAGGTTAAAATAACATAACAGAATCAACAGATGCCACGGATAGGCAAAACTGGAGAAGACTGAAACGGATTGAAATTAGTGTTTCTGAAAACTCTTCAGCCTAACAGTTTTTCATAGTTGATCACTGCTGCTTGCAACTACAAAAATAAAGCTCAGGAGACATATTTGTTTGTCACGGATCTCTGATTTTGTCATTTACATGTAATTTCTTTCCTTACTTTAAGTTCCATAGCAATTGAGGGCGAGTAATTGGCAAAATTAAACAAAAATTAAAATGAAGTGGACTGCCGTGACACAGCCCCTTTAAACCTGAGAATCACAATTTCCTGAAGCTTTCCGTTGACAAGTAAAGGGAGTTCAGCCAGCCTCAGCAGTTCGTCGTAGGAGACTGACTCATGGTTGAAAACTACTCTAAGGGCTCTCTCCTGAGTGTAATTAATCTTTCAACTTTACGTTTGTCTGAGGCTCTGCAGAAATGCCAAATGGTACTGCAGTAAGTCAAGTGAGGCAATATGTAGGCATTTGTACATTATGCTTGCATTTCTTTGAGCATTTTAGTGAAGCAAATTAAGCATTACGCATTATTCGAGCATTTTATGGCACTTTTCACGCATTTCTTCAGAGAAAATAAAAATAAGGGTTAATTGTTCCCGGATTTTTTTTTTTAAAGGGGGGGCATTAAGGTGGAGCATTAAGGTGGAGCATTTTAGTGGGGAAACAAAAGCATAATGTACAAAAGCTTAGGAATATGGCAGCTTTGTATAGTAAAGCAAGTGAAGCGAGCACAGTTGCGTTTTCTCTGTAAAGTGTTTGCTATCGCCGCGCCGAATCGCATGAATCCTTAACTTTCTTTGTGAAAGAATCTCGGAAAAGTAAAGAGAGTAAATTGGTGGCGATCAGGCACGCAGCAACTCGAAGCAAGCCATATCGATCGACTCAATCGCTAAGACGCGCAGTCAAAACAAAACTCTTGAGGCCTCACTAGCCTCGCTTTCGCGCAACTAGACCCGGGCCGGGCGAGAGGTCCGCCATATTTGCATTCGGTGTATACGGTCAACACATGTTTATCTAAAATAAGCCCTAAATTATATGATAAATAAACTTTCCAAGCAAATATCTGACCTCCTTACGTTGCAAGAAAAAATGCTCAGATCTGAATAAATTCCGCCATATGGTAATCCTCCTGTTATTAATTATTCTCCACATGCATGGCATATTTTTCCCGAGATGTCACGCGCGACTGAAATCACGAATTCGCGCACTGCGGTGATGTGACAAAAGCATGTGATAAGAAATAAATAAATCGTCCTTTGTGCTTTGTTCATTTCAAATTATTGCCGCGCCGGGCGGTTGCTGTGAGATGACGGCTTGCTACGCTTTATCTTACTATTTGTTACGATCTTCCAAAAGTATATTTCAACTCTGCGGATTGTCTGAACACGTACATTTTGCTTTTATCACAAATCAAAGATGGGTACTGATTCCTATACCCAAAACCTATTTCACAAAAAAAAAAGTTAAAAAAAGTAAAATAGCTTATAAATACATTCAAAACAGTGTTGGATTTGGTAATTCAGACCACTGACATATTAGCTATTTTTTTCAAAATATCTCAACAACCGAAAAATAAAATTTAAACCAAGGATAAAACTGAACCAGAACATAACCACTTAAAATATATCGTCATAGTATCAGCCAAGATACTAAACTGAAACTAGGTATTTGGCAGCCTTTGAACAGAAAAACGTATCAAAATTCGCACACTAGGCATCGCCGGGAAATTATCGCTAATTTACTTGAGCGTTGAAGTCGTCACTAAATTCTGCAAAAACCGCACACACACCGGACGGCAGAGGAACATGTAATCGGTAAAGTGTGACGAATCTACTTACCAGGTTCAGGTTGTTCAAAACATTTCGTCGCCCCTGGCACTATGTCGTCCCAGCAACAGCTTCTACGCAGACACTGCTTCTTGGTTATGTCATCACTGCCGCACTGTTTTCGTTTAGAGGGCTCGATAGGGCAAAGTTCATCAGGGATCCCTTTAAAAAATGATAATAATAAAAAGTAATAGTTAAAACAAAAGGAAAAAAAAAGTGCATATGGATTGGCTACTTTATAATTTAGTTTGTCACTAGTGTTTATTAGAAAAATATCCAAGTCCGCTTTATGATGCATTTGTCCACTCTAAGCCTCGCCTAGAAAGAGCTGAGTTCCAGTCCTTCTCTGGTTGTTTTCAACAGTATCGCCTTTTGATGTCAACGTCTTAGTGAATTCTTTGAAAACAGCTAACCTCCTTATCTCCGACCAGTTGGGAGTTTCCGGGGGCTACTTCCATATATGAGCTATAGATAGGTATGTGCCAGGCAAAGGGTATGGTTTTTGACGGTTTTGTTCCTAAATTAGGGCACCATTTTTGCCCTTGTTAGCATTGTGTTCCCGGTGAGATCCTCAGATTAATGTAGAGTAAATAAATTGTATCAGCAAAAATTCAAGTGCGAATCTGATGCCCAGCTACACGAAAAACAATTAATCATTTGTTAATACTACACTGCCAAGTTACAGGAAGAAAATAAAGCTGCGACACCCAATTCTTAGTTTTAGTTTTTTCCTTGAATAGGGTGTAATTTTTGAGGTTTGGACATTGCTGGAATACATCCCCCGTGGATATCCTACGTGCAGATGGGCGTCTGCACACAGCCTACCTCGGTGGGAGTTTCACCTGTTAATCTGTTGCGACATCTATAGGGATTCCATCCATATTCGTAGGCGACAATGGAAACCTCCATGTCGCTAGAAATAAGTTGTCTTACACCACATAAACATATACGTGTCACATTTAATATCGTACATGTTCCTGGTTTAGCGTAGCAGGAGCTAGTGGAATCATCCCAACAGCATCCTCTTTTCAAACAGGTACCCTTATGCATTCCCGGCCATCCGCATTGAAAATACTGAGCGGGAAGATCCTGTACGTCGATTCCTGGGTCGTAATGGAAATGGTTAAATTATATATTTTGACTCCATTCCTCCTCCCCCCAAAATACCGACCACACCAACAACAACAAAAACAATAAAGCAACAAACACAAAATTATAAAAACAAAACGAAAACCACAATATACACGGTATTAAAATGCACTTAGTGAAAATGAAAGTATAATATTAATAATACTAGTATTGACCAGCGCATCAACACCCGACCAATGCTGAATACCATATATGGTGCTGCCCTTAACGTTTATTCTAAGGTCTGCTTCATACCAGGAGTAACAGGCCATCCTTACCTAGGGAGTACGCTTTAATTGTACCTCTCAAAAAAAGTTATAAGCGTTTGTTGTGCAGTTGGCGAGGCTGACGGCATTATAATAAAACAATTTACATTTGGTAACGACCCCCATCATCGGACCGCGCACCAGAAATCATCGTGCCGGCTACACTTGAACCATCTGTTTTTTCCGTTATAGAAAAAAAGTCACTTCAAGTATGTTAATTCAGATCAACACAAATTACATTATGAGTGATTAAGTATAGAAATGAATAGTATTCGTGGCCTCAAAGACTACAGTGTGTTCTCCTTTAAGTCCGGACGAAAAGACGAGAAGAAGTTAAAACATTTTTTCTAACTTGGCCAACCAACAGCTTATGAGCTTTGCCGAAAATCCTGCAGAATAGAAAACGACTGCTGCTTTAGAAGGCCCCTTGTCCGGCCAGTGGTTCCTAATGGTCTGGCTACTTTGGCCACTTTGTAAGCCGGCATGTAAACTGTGGGCAAAAAGAAACGTTCCAAGCACAATCTGATTTAAATTCCAGTATATATTTTCTATAGGCATCATTTAAACTTCAAAACCAAAGCGAAATTTCTGTGCACAGGTATAGTTTGGTCAAATAAAGAAATTATTTTAATTCGCTTTTGTGCGAGTGTGTTTCGTGCGACGGCAGCGAAAACGCTACTATTTTAAATGAACGCAATCAAAGTTTAGACAGAGTAAAAATTTTTCGCCGCTAAGCTTGTTTACGTTCTCAAGAAAAACTTCGCATCGGAAAATTTCATGTCTTAGTCGTGCAGCGATGGCAAAGAAATGCCGAGTAGAAAAGAAGTGCAGAGTAATGGTTTGCCCTTGAAACCCATTGCTTGAATTTTTTCTGACTTTGAAACCAATCGGATGGATATAAGCTCCCTTTTAATGGCCATCTATATCATTACTTTAAAAAAAATGAAGAAGTGTAGTGCTACCGGGAAAGTCTCGGTGGTGCAGAAAACATGCGTAATTGTTCAAGTTATTGCTAAAAGCACGAAATTCGGCAGAGGTATGGAGGTCTATATCCTGGATAATTCTGGATAAGACTTCACGCTCTAAAGTGAATACTTTCAGTTTTCAAGCCATGGAGTTAATTATCTGTAAAATGGCAAAAACATAGGCTTAAAGTTCTAGCACGGGTCCGAAATAAGAGCGATTACATACATTGTAATGCACAGTACTACTCACAGAGCCACGCCCTCTGAGGGATATTTCCAGCGTTATAGATGAAGAATACATTTAACAAAACTGCGTAAATGATCCACTATTTAAGTTTGTACATATTTCAACTATTGTATATCGGTAAGAGTCAGTGTAACTAATAAATAATCCTAGATAGGACGCCACGCCCCTTTTCAAGAACTTCAGGTTATACAGTTATGGAACTGATTATATAAAGAGGGCAGAGAAAAGTATTTTTAGAATGGAATCAAAAGATTCAAAATGCCACCGTAATTAGATACATTGCAATGTGTATTTCTATGGATAGAACCACGCCTTTTGGTGGATACTTACAGAAAAAGAGATGTTGCATTGGTATTACTGAAAGTGTACAAAAGGGTGCGAGACGATGAAAATTTCTGTGCAGCGTAGCAAAAAGAAACTCTGCCTAAGCGTTTCGCCTACACGTGTGCTTAATGAACAAGTCACGTAACTGAAAAGATCTAACAAAATTGGCGGGAAAACGAAAGAAAGGCTGTAATGAAATTTGAAATAGTGAGATGAGTTTTTAAAAACAACCTTCGTTCCTAAACATTCCGCCCCCCTTGGGACGCCTATGGATAGCTAGAGGCCCAACATCATGCGTCACTCAGGGGTCCTAGAATCATTCTCCAGGAGACACATATTTTGAACAGGCCGTATGAAAACTGAGTCCTTCGTTTTGACTTTTACGGTGCGCACTAAGCCATCAGGGCCAGGATAGGTCTCCAAAACACGACCAAGGTTCCAGCGACATCGTTACTCTCACAACCACTTCTTCCAAACCAGATACGCAAGAAATTACACCTGCCTTTACCTTCTTCGATGGAACTGGACTGCCCTTCCAAACGGACCCAGGGGTAAACAAAGAGTCTTACTATGCATTATGAAATGAGCACATTGGCTGAATGTCGTGTGGGTCATCTGAATTAGTAATAAGAGCTGCAAAACTGCCTCGGTTGCCACTTGAGTCCCCATGATAGGTTTAAAGCTGCGCACCACCCTTTCCTAGATACCGGACATGCTACAAGCGGTAGAACTAGATGGCTAAAAACCCTATTTGCTCCCTCGCTAAAGCTTTTCGCGCTCAATCTGATTCTGGTTCCACTGTTCTAGACTTTGTCTAAGTTCTCTCTCACCACTTATAAAAACTGGTACCTATGTCACACCTCAGTTCGATAACCACCAAACATTACAAAATCATCTCTGTCCATTGAGTGGACCAACTCAAAATGAACCGCCCTTGTGTTCAGGCACGTGAGCAGGCAGCACCATAAACGTTTCACTTTACGTCTTCCAATCTTAACGTGCAAGGGGCCAAAGGTTTTATTCTGGAGAAGGAAAACACAGGGTGGTAAGCCATTATGCGACTTGTCGGAAGAGATGCCAATTGTTGAGTCATTGGCTTTGCATTTAAATTCTTTCAGACTATGCATCGGCGGAGAATAAAGCAAACTGCCTTCCTGCTGAGGAATCCAAAACACCTCCCCTACTTTCGCAATGATAAGTTCACGTCCACGTCATAGATGTGACGAATCATCGTTCTCGTAGCTAGAGGTGAAAGGGGTTGGCGGGGATAGCGCACGCACTTTGACTCTCAAAACGCCCTGGCCATCAAGTACTGCATGATTCAAACTGGCAATTTTACTGGATGGCTTGACAAAACCCTTGTATTTGAGATCCTCGGTTTCTTGCAAATAGGCCGAATGCTAAACGATCCTTACAATGGCTGTGCAGTAGTAGCAGCATCATAATCATCTGGAGTAAGGCGACCCTTTCGCACGGTCTTCCGACTACCAAGAAACTGGAAAAAAACAGACAAGCCAAGCTATTCGGACTATGAGCGTATTCCAAACAGATGAACTAATGAGCAAACTGAAAAGAACATCTGCAGGTGCTACTGTGAGGCGCAGGGATGAATATTGTAAACTTTGCCTAACAGGTTCGACGTGGGACTCGTGCTTTATCTCTAATTCTTCATCCGGAATATTCGTGAGACCAGCATTAGACCGGTGGGATTCTGGTCACCATAGGAACTCAGGCCCTTGTAGCCATCGCTGATTTAAGTTTAACTCTGAGAGAGTCAAGTCACACAAAATTTCTTCAGCTGGAGTTAGGGATCCTGGCATGTGATTTTATTCTTCCGGCTTAGAGTTCTTTTTTCTATTTCTTCTACGCAATTGGTAACGTAAGCCTGGAACCGACGTTTTCATTCTTCAATCAGTGAACCGCTATTTCGCTATCTGTTCAGTGCTTCGTGCATTCGAAAGGCTAATCCATTTCCTCTATTAGCATGTTATTTACGCGCCTAGACAGCATAGCCACTTGTAGTTCAGGCCTTGGAATGCTTACAAACTTAACTGGAGCATTTCTTGCTTTTCCTTTGACGAACGAACAATGGATGAAGCCGCCGCCAGACAATTCTTCAACTCTTAGGTATGTCGATGCGCCGTGGCCAACTTCTGATACATCAGAGGAAATATGCAGTTGTAGTTTACACTTGAAGCCATCCATTTCGCGTCGGAAGTAGAAACGTGATATGCGAAGCTGAGCCAACGATGGCAGCTGATTGACCCAAGTCCTCCATCTGAAGAGGAGGGCCCTCCCAAAGGCTGGTCCCATTCAATCTTTGCCTTCCAGATGTCCTGTATTAGATCGCTAGCAATATTGGTTACAGGAGCTGCGAGGCCAAGAGGATCGTACAAGGAACAAACGGAAGACAGGTTTTGTCTTAGGACGATTTAAGTCCCTTTTTCGAACCCTGGTTCATCTGTTTCTACAAACCACCAGATAAATGTGTCTGGGAGGTCCGTAGAAATACACGTCGTAATGCAGCTAATCACGGTGACATTTTGAATCTTTTAATCCCATCCTAAAAATGCTCTTTTTGTGGCTTTTTTTATAAATCGATTGCAAAGCTGTATAACTGGAAGTACTTGATAGGGAGCGTGGCATCCTATCTAGAATTATTTACAATATTGACACTTATCCGATATACAAGAGTTAAAGTATGTGCAAGCTTCAACTGGACATTCTTTACATATTTTGATGTATTTCTCATCCACAACTCTGGAAGTATCCCTCAGAGGGTGTGGTCCTATGAGTAGTACCATACACTATATTTTTTTTAATTACTTAGTCGTTCTTATAAGAAAACCTCGAATCGAACTTTAGAAGGCAAACAGATCAAAAAACTCTCGGAAAATTTCGTTTGTATTGTAACCTTATTTCCTTCCCAAAAATAACACACAAAATAAAACCGGCCGGAACAGGGGCCGGGGCCGGACCAAGGACCACATTCTGTACGCTGATAAAAGATAAGATACAAGGTCAGAGTCGCCCTGACAGTCTTGGATTCTGCATTCTACGCTATGTATTCCTGATTCTAGGTACTGGATTCTGGATTCATTGTTATCGGAACTTGGATTC